GCGGCCCGAGCCCCTTCACCGCCCGCAGCGCTACGGCCTGCGCGCGCGCCGCGCTCCCCAGGCCCCGACCTAAACCTCGCCTCTCCTTCCGCAGACGCGGTTCCTCGGTGGCGTTTCTGCGCCGGGGACAAGTAAATTCAAGCAAGACTAAAACGGGGACGCACCCGTGCACACACGAACGCCCTCAGGTCCGCACTGCGCAGGCGCACGCCGCCGGGTTTCTCACCTCCCCTCACTGCGCAGACGCGCGCCGCTCGCGTCCTGTACGTCACTTCCGGCCGAATCCACTTCGGAGAACCGTAGGGGACGGCCTGCCTTTCCGCGTCCTTAGGATGGTTCCAATTGGAAAACTCGGCAGGACGAGAATCCCGTGGACTCACGCATCCTCACGAAATTCCCCCCGCCCCGAATGGCACGGTCCGACCTGCCCACAACACCTGCTGGATTTAACCCGTTTTTTGCCGCAGCCCATAGGTACAATGCCCGATTCAAGGGTCCTGGACCTCTGTTTTAAACATGCGTTTTTATAAAATACAGTTGTTCCTTCACGCTTCCTCTGTGCACTTTGGTTTCTCTTTGTATTGTTCCTCTTTCCTGGATTGACTTCCCGTGTCGTCTCCGCTTTGTTAGGACACTTCAAGGCCTTCCCGGCCTCTCTCTCCCACGTTCGGTCACCAGTCCCGGTGCGACTAATTTAGTTACACGCGATAATTTCACGTGTATTTAATTCCTCAAAGTTTTTTTTAAAGATCTCAATGCTGCTTTTGCATCCACAGGATTAGGGCAATGCTGAGCACGTAAACCTAACAAGTACTTGATTAAATATATTGAAATTATCTCAAACATAATTTTTTAAAGTTTTTGAATAGTCATACTTTTATCAGTTTCAAAAACCAAGAGAATAAGGGCTATATTGAATAGAGTCTCTTGCTCGTCTGTGTCCCCATCCAGTTCCATCTCTATCCCCTACAGGTAACAACGTGATTAGTTTTGGGGCATCTTTGTAATATTTATGCAAGCACAAGCAAATACAAATATATGCTATTATTTTCCTTTCTCATAGAAATATGCATTTTCTGTACTTCCCTCCCGCCACCGCTGCCTTAATGAGTACGTTGGAGATCTTTCCATATCAAAAAGTTCCTCCTTTGTTCCCCCCAGATAGTATGCCATTGTTGGCACGTCCCGTGTCTTTTTTTCTGGTGCCCTGCTGATGACATTTAGGTTATTTCCAGTCGTTTTCTCTATTGACAGCACTACATCAAATGACATTCGTATGTCCTATTTCTGCAGGTGGAACCGGAGGGTAAATTGCCAGAAGTGGGAAATACACTTGAGCAACTCCATACAAAAACAATCACTTAGCACTCTCACCAGTAATAATATGAGATCAAACAGTATTTTAAGTATGGCCGTGTTCTTAAAGTTTCAATTTAGATATTAAAAACACGGTGGTTTTCAAAGAAATAACGTTATTTTTCTTTGTTGGTTTCCAAAGCACTTTATCTCATGCGAGGCTTACAATGGTGGTGAGAGTGGTTTTTATTTAATGTTTAAAACTGAATAGATTCATTTCTACAATACGGCACTGATGCAAAAATTTTAAGTGTCTGGAATCATTTTGCATTTTCTGAAGAAACCCTTTTGGGAGTCCTGGAATGACCTCGCCTTTGGCTATCTGCAAAGGAAGCAGGCAAAAGCTTCTCCCTTTTATCTTGGAGATGAGAATTAGGAGGGAGAGGAGGCAGGTGGTCAGATACATGCTTGAAGAGTCATTGAGGGGTTTAGGTAGATGAAAGGAAAACCAAGTTCTAGTCCCCACGGTAAACTCTTGTAAGGTGACAGTACTGGTGGCTCGCTGCAGCATAAGATCACCATGACAATAAAAATGGCAAGACAGA